CCAGTATCTGGTTCTTGTCGATCAGCTCCAGGAACTGTTCCTTGTATTCCCAGACCGGCAATTGGATGCGTTTGCGGAACAGCTCGTAATAGCGTTGACTGAACGGCAATTGTGTGCACGCGTTGATACCGGCGGTGGTGGTGGCGGCGCCCGCTCCGGGACCCGCCGCTCCCGCCGACGCTTTACTCTTGGCGTCCTTCAGCAACGAGTCGATGTCCGCCGAGTGGTGTGAGTGATGATCGCCGGCCCGACTGGTGGAGAGAAAATACACGTTAAGCACACAATGTCTGGCAAACAACTGGTCACCAGAGCTGATCCCAATACTCACTTCTTCTTCGTGAAGCCATCGTTCAAATCGATACGTCTTTTAGACATGTTTTTACTGATTCACGCGCCAGAAGTGGTCAACAATGTCTTCAGCGGTGGATGTGATGCGTGTGTGTGTCAGACACTCGTCCGGCGGGGGCTTTGATGTGCCGACCGGTGGCCACAAGAGGTGAGTCAGTGAATGAGACAATTGGTGTCAATAATTAATAACTAAATGTAATTAAACGCTAACTAAACATAACTAAACGTATTGTTAATGTCTGACACCAAACACACCACTACTGCATGAGTAGAGGGTTGAGAGTAGAGGTGTGCGCCGCCCATACCTAACACACATATAGAAGTGTTCGTATATAACGTTACGTTACGTAACGCTACGTTCAGTACATTTTAGTGCATTTTTTGCGCAAAAACCCAACAAACAATTTGTAACGGTATTTGCGAACGACTCACACCATTAAAGCCCATATAAATAGCAAAACAAAAACATTGAAAACAACGAAAAATGTAATCAAAAGTCGTATCGAAAGTGAAAACAAAGACTTTTAATAATAATTACATCAAAACCACAGACAAAGACAGAGACAACACATCACCCGATCATCAGCTGATCACTGGATCCGCTGATCACGACATTATTCCACACATTAATATAACAGCAGATAATAATCAACACCAGTGAAGATGTGGCTAAAGCTGATCCTAATCACCACATTCTTCGTGTTTGTGGCGCTTCTGTCGCGAGTGATGGATATGATGGCCATCAACGGCGCGGATCTGCTCTCCGCACACATATTCCTCAACACCGTTGGTCTGAGTGTACGGCAACTGAAGTATCTGTTGGATGCCCGCGGGATCAGCTACGAGGGCGTACTCGAGCGGCCAGAGCTGATCCAATTGGTGGACGATTCGGGTCCCGTCACTGAGCGGCAACTCATGGACTGCGCCGACGAAGACCTACAGCACCAGTATATGGCGGCCGCCGTCGACGCAGATCTGACCGCTGATGACGTCGACAATTATCTATACCACGAGAAGAGCGGTTCCCATCGATTCTCTTCGGGCGCTCATCTGTACGAAGAGGTGGAGGACACGAAAGACAGCGCGTGGATCGTGAATGTGGTGGCCATCGGTGGTCACAATCGTATCGACAGTAAACTGTGGGCTAAAGTGGTGGACAAGAGCTCGAGGTTTGGCATCCGGAGCGCAATATTTGACTGCAGTGTCGATCCCGCGCTCTGCCATCGGAAGGGATGGCTGTCGTCGCGGCTAATACTAGCGCTTCCGCGCGAAGGCCTTCGCACCAAAGAGGACGTACTGATGGTGACGTTCTTCACCGGCCGTCACACCCGTC